TATAACTGGGCACGTTTTTCACTTTCCATCAAACAGTAATTATAATTTAAGCTCTTGTGTGGCATAAAAAAAAAATTTGAAGTCACGTATGAATTGTGTTTGCAAGGAAGTCTCAAGAAGTACGATGTAGGAAAGTGTTCGTGGATGAGGAGTTGAAAGGTCAGTGCAGGACTGATTACCTTTAAAATTATCTATCGTAGTCACAATGTCGCCATTACCACAGTCATCCACCACCAGTATTACCACAGTCATCCACCACCAGTATTACCACAATCATCCACCACCAGTATTCCACAATCATCCACCACCAGTATTTCCACAATCATCCCCCACCAGTATTACCACAATCATCCACCACCAGTATTTCCACAATCATCCACCACCAGTATTACCACAATCACCCCCACCAGTATTTCCACAATCATCCACCACCAGTATTACCACAGCCACCCCCCACCAGTATTACCACAATCATCCACCACCAGTATTACCACAATCTCCCCACCAGTATTACCACAATCATCCACCACCAGTATTACCACAGTCACCCCCACCAGTATTACCACAATCATCCACCACCAGTATTACCACATCACCCCCACCAGTATTACCACAGTCATCCACCACCAGTATTACCACAATCATCCACCATCAGTATTACCACAATCATCCACCACCAGTATTACCACAATCATCCCCAACCAGTATTTCCACAATCATCCACCACCAGTATTACCACAATCATCCCCCACAGTATTACCACAATCATCCACCACCAGTATTACCACAATCATCCCCCAACCAGTATTTCCACAATCATCCACCACCAGTATTACCACAATCATCCACCACCAGTATTACCACAGTCATCCCCAACAGTATTTCCACAATCATCCACCACCAGTATTACCACAAAGATCCACCACCAGTATTACCACAATCATCCCCCAACAGTATTTCCACAATCATCCACCACCAGTATTGCCACAATCATCCATTACCAGTATTACCACATCATCTACCACCAGTATTACCACAGTCACCCCACCAGTATTACCACAATCATCCACCACCAGTATTACCACAGTCACCCCACCAGTATTACCACAATCATCCACCACCAGTATTTTCCACAATCATCCACCACCAGTATTACCACAGATCATCCACCACCAGTATTACCACAATCATCCACCACCAGTATTACCACAATCATCTACCACCAGTATTACCACAGTCACCCCCACCAGTATTACCACAATCAATCCACCACCAGTATTACCACAGTCACCCCACCAGTATTACCACAATCATCCACCACCAGTATTTTCCACAATCATCCACCACCAGTATTACCACAGTCATCCACCACCAGTATTACCACAATCATCCACCACCAGTATTACCACAATCATCCACCACCAGTATTACCACAATCACCCCCCACCAGTATTACCACAATCATCCACCACCAGTATTACCACAGTCATCCACCACCAGTATTACCACAATCATCCACCACCAGTATTACCACAGTCATCCACCACCAGTATTACCACAATCATCCACCACCAGTATTTCCATAATCATCCACCACCAGTATTACCACAATCATCCACCACCAGTATTACCACAATCATCCACCACCAGTATTACCACAATCATCTACCACCAGTATTACCACAGTCACCCCCACCAGTATTACCACAATCATCCACCACCAGTATTACCACAGTCACCCCCACCAGTATTACCACAATCATCCACCACCAGTATTTCCACAATCATCCACCACCAGTATTACCACAATCATCCACCACCAGTATTACCACAATCATCCACCACCAGTATTACCACAATCATCCACCACCAGTATTACCACAATCACCCCCACCAGTATTACCACAATCATCCACCACCAGTATTACCACAGTCACCACCACCAGTATTACCACAATCATCCACCACCAGTATTACCACAAGTCATCCACCACCAGTATTACCACAATCATCCACCACCAGTATTTCCATAATCATCCACCACCAGTATTTACCACAATCATCCACCACCAGTATTACCACAATCATCCACCACCAGTATTACCACAATCATCACCACCAGTATTACCACAGTCACCCCCACCAGTATTACCACAATCATCCACCACCAGTATTACCACAGTCACCCCACCAGTATTACCACAATCATCCACCACCAGTATTCCACAATCATCCACCACCAGTATTACCACAATCACCCCCACCAGTATTACCACAATCATCCACCACCAGTATTTACCACAATCATCCACCACCAGTATTACCACAATCATCCACCACCAGTATTACCACATCACCCCCACCAGTATTACCACAATCATCCACCACCAGTATTACCACAGTCATCCACCACCAGTATTACCACAATCATCCACCACCAGTATTACCACAGTCATCCACCACCAGTATTACCACAATCATCCACCACCAGTATTACCAAATCATCCACCACCAGTATTACCACAATCACCACCACCAGTATTCCACAATCATCCACCACCAGTATTACCACAGTCACCCACCACCAGTATTACCACAATCATCCACCACCAGTATTACCACAATCATCCACCACCAGTATTACCACAATCATCCCCCACCTGTATTACCACAATCATCTACCACCAGTATTACCACAATCACCCCACCAGTATTACCACAATCATCCACCACCAGTATTACCACAATCACCCCCCACCAGTATTACAACAATCATCCACCACCAGTATTACCACACAGTCATCCACCACCAGTATTACCACAATCATCCACCACCAGTATTACCACAATCATCCACCACCAGTATTACCACAGTCATCCCCCACCAGTATTACCACAATCATCCACCACCAGTATTAACCACAATCACTCCACCACCAGTATTAACCACAATCACCCACCATCAGTATTACCACAGTCACCCCCACCAGTATTACCACAATCATCCACACCAGTATTACCACAATCACCCCACCTAGTATTACCACAATCATCCACCACCAGTATTACCACAATCACCCCCACCAGTATTACCACAATCATCCACCACCAGTATTACCACAGTCATCCACCACCAGTATTACCACAATCATCCACCACCAGTATTACCACAATCATCCACTACCAGTATTACCACAGTCACCCCCACCAGTATCACCACAATCATCCACCACTAGTATTACCACAATCACTCCACCACCAGTATTACCACAATCACCCACCATCAGTATTACCACAGTCACCCCCACCAGTATTACCACAATCATCCACCACCAGTATTACCACAGTCATCCACCACAAGTATTTCCACAATCGTCCACCACCAGTATTACCACAATCACCCCACCATCAGTATTACCACAGTCACCCCCTACCAGTATTACCACAATCATCCACCACCAGTATTATCACAATCATCCCCCACCAGTATTTCCACAATTATCCACCACCAGTATTACCACAATCACCCCCACCAGTATTACCACAATCATCCACCACCAGTATTACCACAATCACCCCACCTGTATTACCACAATCACCCCCACCTGTATTACCACAATCATCCCCACCAGTATTACCACAATCACCCCCACCAGTATTACCACAATCACCCCCACCAGTATTACCACAATCATCCCCACAAGTATTACCACAATCATCCACCACCAGTATTACCACAATCATCCCCACCTGAATTACCACAATCACCCCCACCATGTATTACCACAATCTTCCCCACCAGTATTACCACAATCACCCCCACAGTATTCACATATCACCCCACCAGTATTACCACAATATCCAAAGTTAACAATACCCCCACCAAATTACTTACCACAATCATCCCCACCAGTATTACCACAAATCACACACCAGTATTACCACAATCATCCACCACCAGTATTACCACAATCATCCCCACTGTATTACCACAATCATCCCCACCAGTATTACCACAATCATCCCCACCAGTATTACCACAATCATCCACCACCAGTATTACCACAATCATCCCCACCAGTATTACCACAATCATCCACCACCAGTATTACCACAATCATCCCCCACCAGTATTACCACAATCATCCCCACCAGTATTACCACAATCATCCCCACCAGTATTACCACAATCATCCCCACCAGTATTACCACAACAATCACCACAGTATTACCACAATCATCCACCACACAGTATTACACAATCATCCCCACCGTTTCACCACAATCATCCACCACCCAGTATTTACCACAATCATCCCCACCAGTATTACCACATCATCACTCACCAGTATTACCACACTATCATCCCCACCAGTATACCACAATCATCCCCACCAGTATTACCACAATCACCCCTCCCCACCAGTATACAATCACCCCACCAGTATTAACCACAACACCCCACCAGTATTACCACAATCACCCCCAACCAGTATTAACCACAATCATCCCCCACCAGTATTACCAGCAATCACCCCACCAGTATTACAAAACATCCCCACCATATTAACCACAATCACCCCCACCAGTATTACCACAATCACCCCCACCAGTATTACCACAATCACCCCTCACCAGTATTTACCACAATCACCCCCACCATATTACCACAAACACCCCCCACCAGTATTACCACAATCACCCCCACCAGTATTACCAACAATCGACCCCCCCACCCAGTATTACACAATCACCCCCCCACCATAATACCACAATCAACCCCCCAACCCCCCCTATCATCCACCATCACACACAACAAGTGAGGAGTTTCACTATCAGTGAGGCTCCAGCAGTCGTGGTAAGAGGTCGTTGCACCTCCCCGTGTTGCACCTCCCCGTGTTGCACCTCCCCGTGTGTGTGCACCTCCCCGTGTTGCAGCTCCCCGTGTTGCACCTCCCCCGTGGTGTGTGCACCATCCCCTGGTTGCACCTCCCCGTGTTTGCACCTCCCCGTGTTGCACCTCCCCGTGTTGCACCTCCCCGTGTTGCACCTCCCCGTGTTGCACCTCCCCGTGTTGCACCTCATCATAATTACTGTAACAGTAACTGCAAAGGTAAGAACATTATCATAATTTATTATTATTAATTAAGGAAATAATCCACAATAAACAGGAAATAAAAGCGAAATCATTCTTACTTTACTGCAGCAAAAAATACTAAAAAAATTAATCATGTACAAAGACATTAACAAACGATAACAAAAACGATAACAATTACTTTCCATGTTCCTGCCTCGTAACGTGCCAAGTTACGGTTAATTTAAAAAATTCAATAATTAACATTTCGTAACGAAATTTGACGTAATAAAAATAATTTAATTACATTTACCCAACATATATATATATATATATATATATTATAATAAATATATATATATATATATATATATATATAAAATTTTCCGTTGCCGATAGTGTAAAATTGGTCAATTAGCAACAATTCATTTAAAATTAAGTCCTTTCAAAATTTTCTCATTTACTGTTAAAGATATATATTTTTTTCATTTATGTTAATGTAAAAATTAATAATTTTGTACCAAAAGAACCTTAGAAAACTTACCTGACCTTATTATAACAAGGAAAATTTCATTTAACCTAATCCAACTAAATATATTTTAGATAAGTTTACAATAATTTAATACTAAACAAACACAGTGAAATATATTTTTTTCGTTAGGTTCAGAATGATTTTTGCGAAATTATTGCATACACAAATTTTCGCTTGTCTTATTCGGCAAAAAGAGTGTTGCTATTTAAGCCAAAGTCGTAAATTTTACCTATTCGGCACGACATATATATGTAACGAAGGTGAAGGGATTTTGATTCGAGGAGATGAACCTGACGTCTTTCCTGGATCAAACCTGTTTGTCTTCCATTTCTCTTTGGGGCCCCTAGGGGTTTAACGCATTTAACGTGGATATAATAATATTTTTTTAATTTTTATTATCACACACCCGGGTACCGCCGATTCCCACCAAGGCAAAGGGGTGGCCCGAAAAAGAAAAACTTTCACAAACCATCAATCACTCCATCACTGTCTTGCCAGAAGGGTGCTTTACATTCTACTACAGTTTTTAAACTGCAACATTAACACCGCCCTCCTTCAGAGTGCAGGCACTGTACTTCCCATCGTCCAGGACTCAAGTCCGGCCTGCCGATTTTCCCTAATCCCTTCATAAATGTTTTACTTTGCTCACACACCAACAGCACGTCAAGTATTAAAAAACCATTTGTCCCATTCCACACTCCTATCAACACGCTCAATCATGCCTGCTGGGAAGTCCAAGCCCCTCGCACACCAAAACCTCCTTTACCCCCCTCCCTCCAACCCCTTCCTAGGCCGACCCCTAGCCCCCGCCTTCCTTCCACTACAACTGAATAAACACTCATGAAGTCATTCTTTCGCTCCATTCTCTCTACATCGTCCGAACCACCTCAACAACCCTATCCTCAGCCCTCTGGACAACAGTTTTGGTAATTCCCGCACCTCCTCCCTAACTTTTCCAAACTACGTACGATTCCTGCCATTAATTCACACCACCATTGCCCTCAGACATGACAATCTCCACTGCCTCCATAGCCTTCTCCTCGCTGCAACATTCTCACCCACGCCTTCACACCCATATAAGAGCGTTGGTAAAACTATACACTCATACATTCCCCTCTTTGCCTCCAAGGGCAAAGTTCTTTGTCACGCACAGACCCTAAGTGCACCACTCACTCATTTTTCCCTCATCATTCTACGATTCACCTCATCTATCTAGACCCATACCGCTGACACGTCCACTCCCAAATATCTGAATACGTTCACCTCCGCCATACTCTCTCCCTCCAATCTGATATTCAATCTTTCATCACCTTAATCTTTTGTTAATCCTCATAACATTACTCTTTCCTTATTCACCTTTAATTTACTTCTTTTCACACCCTAGACCAAATTCATCCACAATCTCTGCAACTTACCTCTCAGAATCTCCCAAGAGCACAGTGTCATCACAAAGAGCACTGTGACACTCCCACTTTGTGTGTGATTCTTATCTTTTAACTCCACGCCCTTGCCAAGACAGCTCGCATTACTTCTCATAACAACCCCATCTATAAATATATTAAACAACCACGGTGACATCACACATCCTTGTCTAAGTCCTACTTTTACTTGGGAGAAAAATTCCCGTCTTTTCCTACATACTCTAACTTGAGCTCACTATCCTCGTAAAAACTCTTCAATGCTTTCAGTAACTCTACCCTCCTACACCATACACCTTGCAACATCTGCCACATAGCCCCCTATCCACCCTTGTCAAACGCCTTTTCCAAACCATAAATGCCACAAAGACCTCTTTACCTTATCTAAATACTGTTCACTTTTATGTTTTCACTGTAAACAACACTGGTTCCCACACACGCCCCTACCTTTCCTAAAGCCCCTTGTTTCATCTGCTATCCTATTCTCTCTCCGTCCCTTACTCTTCTTAATTCATTTCAATTATAACTCTAACATACACTTATTACCAGGTACACTCAACAGACTTATCCCCTATAATTTTTGCCACGTCTCTTTTATCCCCTTTGCCTTTATATACAAAGGAACATGCATGCTCTCCTGCCAATCCAAAAACCCAAGGTACCTTACCCTCTTCCATACAATTATTAAACAATTGCACCAACCACTCCAAAACTATATCCCCACCTGCTTTTAACATTTCTATCTTTATCCCATCAATCCCGGCTGCCTTACCCCCTTTCATTTTACCTACTGCCTCACGAACTTCCCCCACACCACAACTGGCTCTTCCTCACTCCTACAAGATGTTATTCCTCCTTGCCCTATACACAAATCACAGCTTCCCTATCTTCATCAACATTTAACAATTCCTCAAAATATTCCTTCCATCTTCCCAATACCTCTAACTCTCCATTTAATAACTCTCCTCTCCTATTTTTAACTGACAAATCCATTTGTTCTCTAGGCTTTCTTAACTTGTTAATCTCACTCCAAAACTTTTCTTATTTTCAACAAAATTTGTTGATAACATCTCACCCACTCTCTCATTGCTCTCTTTTTACATTGCTTCACCACTCTCTTAACCTCTCTCTTTTTCTCCATATACTCTTTCCTCCTTGCATCACTTCTACTTTGTAAAAACTTCTCATATGCTAACTTTTTCTCCCTTACTACTCTCTTTACATCATCATTCCACCAATCGCTCCTCTTCCCTCCTGCACCCACTTTCCTGTAACCACAAACTTCTGCTGAACACTCTAACACTACATTTTTAAACCTACCCCATACCTCTTCGACCCCATTGCCTATGCTCTCATTAGCCCATCTATCCTCCAATAGCTGTTTATATCTTACCCTAACTGCCTCCTCTTTTAGTTTATAAACCTTCACCTCTCTCTCCCTGATGCTTCTATTCTCCTTGTATCCCATCTAACCTTTTACTCTCAGTGTAGCTACAACTAGAAAGTGATCTGATATATCTGTGGCCCCTCTATAAACATGTACATCCTGAAGTCTACTCAACAGTCTTTTATCTACCAATACATAATCCAACAAACTACTGTCATTTCGCCCTACATCATATCGTGTATACTTATTATCCTCTTTTTCTTAAAATATGTATTACCTATAACTAAACCCCTTTCTATACAAAGTTCAATCAAAGGCTCCCCATTATCATTTACACCTGGCACCCCAAACTTACCTACCACACACCCTCTCTAAAAGTTTCTCCTACTTTAGCATTCAAGTCCCCTACCACAATTACTCTCTCACTTGGTTCAAAGGCTCCTATAACATTCACTTAACATCTCCCAAAATCTCTCTCTCTCCTCTGCATTCCTCTCTTCTCCAGGTGCATACACGCTTATTATGACCCACTTCTCGCATCCAACCTTTACTTTAATCCACATAATTCTTGAATTTACACATTCATATTCTCTTTTCTCCTTCCATAACTGATCATTTAACATACTGCTACCCCTTCCTTTGCTCTAACTCTCTCAGATACTCCAGATTTAATCCATTTATTTCCCCCCCACTGAAACTCTCCTACCCCCTTCAGCTTTGTTTTCGCTAGGGCCAGGACATCCAACTTCTTTTCATTCATAACATCAGCAATCATCTGTTTCTTGTCATCCGCACTACATCCACGCACATTTAAGCAACCCAGTTTTATAAAGTTTTTCTTCTTCTCTTTTTTTAGTAATTGTATACAGAGAAGGGGTTACTAGCCCATTGCTCCCGGCATTTTAGTCGCCTCATACGACACGCATGGCTTACGGAGGAAAGATTCTTTTCCACTTCCCCATGGACAATAGAAGAAATAAAAAAGAACAAGAGCTATTTAGAAAAAGGAGAAAAACCTAGATGTATGTATATATATATATGCATGTGCGTGTCTGTGAAGTGTGACCAAAGTGTTAGTAGGAGTAGCAAGATATCCCTGTTATCTTAGCGTGTTTATGAGACAGAAAAAGAAACCAGCAATCCTACCATCATGCAAAACAATTACAGGTTTTTGTTTCACAGTCATCTGGCAGGATAATAATAATAATAATAATAATAATAATAATAATAATAATAATAATAATAATAATAATAATAATAATAATAGTAATAATAATCAAACTATACTGTCAGTTCAACTCTTCTGTAAATGTAACCTTCTGTAAATGTAACCTTCTGTAAATGTAACCTTCTGTAAATGTAACCTTCTGTAAATGTAACCCTCTGTAAATGTAACCCTCTGTAAATGTAACCCTCTGTAAATGCAGTCTTTTGTAAATACAACTCCTAGCGTTAACACCATTTATTACACACTCGACTAAACGCGTTTTGTGTTACCAGCAGCACGACCACTCTCACGGCCATTACCGACAATTACATTAACGCTGTACGATTACATTATATAGCGTAATGGGTCTTGATTGCTATATAATAGTTGAAAGCGATTTCACTCAATTTTTGGTCTTGTGTTAAGGGTTTAGAGAGGAAGGGAAAGGGCATTTAGGTTAGGTTAGTGCCTTTTAACCTTAACGAGTGTCTCCTA